TGAAGCACAGTGGTTCGCTGGTGATAGTCGTTACCGTGCACGAGGGAACGATTTTATCATGCACAATAATAAAACGCCTATATCATCCGTAAATGTACTGCACTTTGTGCGGCCGCAAATCGATCATTCACTTCATACATACATGACTATGCACTTTCCTGAGTTTTTTTCTGGCTGTTTTGGCAATCCTTTAGGTGAATGGGTAGCATTAAAATGTTGGGATGAGATTGAGTAAATCTACGAGTGCCACTGTTTGCGACAATCATCCATATAATGCAGTGTCTCCAATAACCGATGACTCTGATCCCTAGGTCCCCCTCCAGGAAGCTAAACGCGATCTTTATGACCGAGTCCCGTGATCAGAACACTGATACCGCATGCCAGGTCTTAGTTTGGCCACCATGGACTAAACCACCAACTGCCTGACTCGGCAAACCTCGCACGCCAATGAAATCTATTTAGTGACAAATGTAACACGTCCTATTCAGCGCGGTTTATGGAGGTTGGACATTTGCTTCAACGAGCGACCGCGATCGACTGAAACTCTGCACCTAACCCCACCGATGCTTGTCCGACTTACCAACTGGATTTTTGCAGCGATGTCCGAGCACTGATAGTCTAACTTCATCCTGTTTATGCGATAAACGGATCGAAGCTTTGAACAATATCGCGGCACTGGCCGAACTACCGTAGGGACCCGTCGCAGACAGCCAGATGTCGCCAGGGTTCCGCAGTTGTTTCAAGTCGGTCAGTGCGTGCCGAAAAGTCACCCACCATGCGTCCTCTAGGTGAGATGTAGCTAGCTGGGAAAAAGAATTTATCAGCTTTCTCCATTACCTCTCTAGCCATGGTGAGAATCGCAGTTGGATCAACCCAATTCTGTGGCAACAGCTTGTATTTGAAAGATAGAAAAAGTATGCCGAACATGACTCCACGAACACACAAACGACGCAGAAAAGCTTGCAACTTATTTGAGTCTTCGATTACCAGTACAACCTGAAAGCCACTATTCTCGCACATGGATAGGGCTATTTCCACATCCATGTCCATTAGAAATTTGGGTAGACAAGGAAAGGGGCAACTTTAAGGTACATCACTTTCTGTGGTGAAGTGCGGACAAAAAAGAATCTGCAAGCTCGACCTGGAATTCGACTACTAGTATAAAGGGATCGTAATATTGAAATAAACTTGTCGGACACAACCCTCAAGGAGAGTCAGTTCCAGAGTATACAGCAGTCAACCAAATCAAAAGGGCCCTTATAAATTAAGAAAAATACGAACTGTGGATCAACGGGATATGTCGGCGTAGGGCTTTGAGATAGGGAATGTGAATTCAGAAGAACACTGATCCGAGGCAAAAAAGCAAAGTGATAATTTGTCTTTATTGTGTTCACATGTTCGTGTTGCTAGGCTACCATCCACCCACACAATGTAGCGTAATATCGATCGTAAAGCAGCCTACATGGGATGATACCTTTGGCAGTCAATATATGCACCACCTATTTATAACAGAGTGGACTAGTTCAAACCTGTTCTCGCACAGTTCGGACTCCGTTTCCTACAGCACGTCAAAATTCGCATTGCAGATCAACTGCGACGAGCAGAACGGTTTACCAAACAAAATTCTCACGTTTGATGGACAACTTGAGTATTGTATACAACTGTGAGTCTAAGACTCCAAACCAACCGGTACCAACAGTGGAGAAGACGCCGTGCACAGCATATTTGCCTTGAAAACGTGGGTTTCTATAGGCTCGAGTCACCCGTTGTTTGCGACCTACTCTCAAAGATAGCTGCCGGTTTAGATAAATCTCAAACAACCTGAGAATTCGGTCTTTAATATTGAATGCAAATTCCCGCGAACTTCTCATGTATTTGATGTTGTAGTGAACTTGCAATTGTGAGAACACGAGTCTGCATCGGAATACAAACCAAAACGGAAAACCATGTACAAAGAAAGTCACAAGTTGCAAGGAAAGGAAACGGACATGATAAACAATACACACGTGAGTGCAAAATATCAGCATGCATACGAACACTTGAGTCCATGAGAGCAGCGGATTGAAAGATAGACAAGCAGCTAAAGGATAATTCATTTTTTTATTACACACTTTCGTGTCACGAGGGCTTGCTGATCAGTGGTGGAAACCGGCAACCAAAGCCCGGGACTTGGAGTGGCGAACCACATAATGCCTCCATAGTTTAGGGNTAGGGGTGGTATTAAGCCGGACGACAGCAGAGCTGCCTACTACAAAAGTCCGGTGACGGTGGGGGCTCGAACCTCGAACTACAAAGTCCAAAGTACGCCGAGGACAGCGTCTAAACCACTGTGCCACCACTACCCTACCATGAACGCTTCGTTGTATGTGGGTGTTTATTGATGATAAAAGCAGAGTAAGATTATACAGCTAGGTTGAAAAAATAACCACATTCGCCTTCACTACCCTATGCAACCAATTTCGACGAACGATATGTACAGTGGGCATAGGGGCTCCTACACCCGTCTCGATCTCTCTCCCTAACTCTGAAACAGTCGATGAGTATAATAGATAGAATACCTATTGCTTGGAAAAAGTGTGACCCTAATGATATGAGTCGACATCTAGAGAGATGGCGGTTAAATAAAATAACGTTAGAAGTTTCAATGAATGAACGTGATTAGTGGTAAGACTAATGCACCACATTCAGTGTTTGTATTTAAACACCAAAGATAAGCAAGCGATAAACAGACATAGAGAGAAGTTCCTACCATTCATCAACTGATTTTGATTTATCAGCTCCATTTGTAAGTTTGCCTATATAACGTAAGTTAATAGACTTCTGCAACCATGGCACATGGTTCTTAGACAGTGAAGCTTAGCTTTTAAACCATGGTGAAACATCTAGGTGGGATTGGCAGAGAGAGATGTTTTGAAAACGTTGCCTATGTGAACAGTGAATTTCATTTTTCGTTGGCTTTCTTGGAAACAACCACATACTCGGAAGTTTCCGAGCACGCTGACGACTCATGCTACGTAGAAGAAACCAATGACTCGTTGAGTGAACTTCCTAAAGAATGTGATTGGTGTATATGCATCACTGTGCTGAATAAGAGGTGGGCACCTCATAAGAATCAGCAAAATGATAATCCACTCATAAAAATAAACCATTTAATGAGCCTAATGGTGTGGAGGGGAGCTATTCGTCTGAGCGGTGCGGCGGTGATGGGGTTCGAAGCTGGGACCAACTGGGAACGGCGATCGCTACAAACATTTTCATCTGATATCCATTCAGAAGACTGTTCTCTACTTGACAAACCAGTTCGCAGAAATAGCACCCCCAGTTCCAAACAAATAGGCTTTTTGCACTATCCGAATATGGATCAAACGAGAATGCTGCACAGTTAAGCAAGACCGCTTGATCTTACTGAATCACGCAAGTCAAAGTAAGTGAGCCGTGGAGGTGTATGTATAAGTGAGGAAACACCAAACCGTATGAAAGATCACTAACTGTGTGCATCAATCAAACAAGTGGTCGAAACCAAACGTATGAAAAGAGTAGCCATTTGGGAGGGTGTGGCACACGCACAACCACATAGTATGTATTGACGCCAAACCACAACCGGCACAAGAGACGCCGTATTAAGGCGAGATAACCAGAGNCGATCGGAAGTTGGCGACATGGTCAAGAGACTCGTGGATGAGTGTGTGTGGGGGGGTAGTTGCATGAGAGGAACGAGTTTAATAGCACGCGATCAGTTCGAAAGACTGTTCGGATCGCGGGGGGGGGCTGTGGATAGCCAAGCACGCGTTCTGGTGTGCATAATCAGAGGTATAGAAGCGCGCATGAGACTGTGCGCGAGTGAGTGCGTATTGAGAGGACAGAAAACACACAGAAACGGACAGGAGCAGGAGGCAAGTTTGGATGAAAGAAAAAAAAACTGACAAAAACGAGCGACAGAACGAGAAGATGAGAAAAACAAACAGTACAGTCCGACCGGCAAACGATCGGAAGTCTTGTGTGGGAGTGAGGAACGGAGGGAATGGCGATATGAGGCGAAAAATAGAAGGGATAATGCCCAGTTTATGATGATGATGGTGGTGTTTTTTTGACTTCACAAGACGCATAGGACATGACGACCGAGAAATCGGCTGTGGGGTGAAGAAGAGACATGGCACAGCATAACACAATGGGTATGAATGGTAGGAGGTAACCGAGTGGTGTGACCTCAAACAGCAAGTAATTAAGTGAAACTCGTAGTCTTCGCAGCATGTACCTACCTCAGCTCGATTCGAGCTTGGAAAGACATAAAGAGAGAAAGAAGAGACACAGGATTGCGAGGCTTCGAGCAGTGTCGTCAATAGCGACGCAAAATATCCACGACGCCGTGCTCATTGATAATTAAAAAAAAAAAAACAGAGCTATACGACTGGTTTTAACAGGTCTCTGATACACAGTTAGACCCACCAAATACAGTTTTCCTCGCTAATCCATCTCCAATCAAGAAGACTGGGCGCGTAGTCACACAATAACCGTACACCGCTAGTATTCCGCCTCCAACGAGGAACAAATGCAACATTCTGGTTGTGACAAGGAGACATCCAGAAGCATGACGATGTCACCGAGCGACCGAATGAGAGAGAGGAAGAGATAAGGTTGTTCAGGTGTGTAAAATAATTAACCACACACACACACACACACACACAAACGTACAGAGAGAAGGGGTCAATCTAGCCTAAAGTGAAACAGACGCGATATGGATGAAAAACTAAAACATCAACCTCTGCAGCGGCAGTAGCAGCATTGGTGAAGAGATTAGGCTGTATGGAAGGAGAAAAACTCAAAGCTTTTTCCCGTCGGTTTTGGGCGGATTCTGTGGAACGGGGATACCAAATTTGGCTGTGTGAATCAGAGCGTGTAGGAGCGTGAATGTATGGCGACACACCTCGTGAATGTGTGTGCGTGTGATAAATTCGATGTTTCTCTGTGTGAATGAAGGGGACAGGTTCTTAATGGAATCATCATTTTGTAGAATCTGGCTGGCATACAGGAGGTGTGGCACAACGCGCATCATCATCCTCGTCGTCGTCATCATCATCATCCACATTCACATTTCGCCGTCCCACAGAACCACCGCCATCATGAAGTGAACTATGAGTGTCCATGTCCCCAAAAAGCAGCTGTTCATTTGAGGACGAATAGGAAGCAGAGGAAAGGCGTTTAACCGAATAGGATGGGTCGTTAGGATGGCTACTTGAACTGGCTCGATCGGGCATACCACTCAGAGATACCCGATTAGCCGGTTTGACGAATGCCGGTGCACCACTGGATGAAGTAGTCGGAGTGGCTGGGGAATTTGGTAAGGGGACTTGGTGAATGGCGCAAGGTTTTCCAGGGGAAGAGGATGGGGAACAACAACTGCAACGGCCACCAGAACCGGCAGATCGAGGTGTGTGTCCGTGACTCCGACTGTATTGATCCACGTGAGAGCTCAGAGTATTTGGCAGGCACCGGCCAGTGGTAGCAGAGGATGAGAGAGGCGGTGTGGTCCATCCATCCAATTGTCCCGCAGGTAAGCGTTGACCACACTCGCGGCAG